AAAACATATGTCTCTGCAAAACTTATACAAGCATGTTCACGGCAGCTTTATTCATATAGGCCAAAAATGGGAATAAAAATAAATATCAGATGAATGGAAAAACCCAAAAAGGAACGAACTATTACACATAAAAACATTATTTGGATGAATTTCAAAAACATTCTACTGAGGAAAGGAAGCCATACAGAAAAGACTATATGGTCCAAACTGCATTCATATGAAATTTAAAAACAGGCAAAACTTATCTAAGGAAATGGTTCTCACTTGGGGAATTTTGCCCTCCCCTTCCTTGGATGGTGTGGTGACATTTCTTAATTGTCACACTTGGGGGATGGGGGCTGGGTGGCTGCTTCTGTTATGTAGTGGACACAGAGGCCAGCAATGCTGTTAAACATTCTAGAATGTACAGAACACTAACACAACAAAGAATTATCAGGCCCAAAATTCCAATAGTGCCTAGGCCCAGGTTGGAAAATTGTCATCTACTGTGGTCAGTGATGGTCTTGGGATACTGAATGCAAATGAAAAATGAAGGTGTTCTGGGGACAATAAAAATGTTCTATATTTTATTTGCAGTAGTAATTTGTTTTCCAAAATTCACCACACTGTACACTTCAAATGGGCACATTTTATTGTATGCAATTTTACCTCAAAGTTGATGGTAAAAATTATAGCCTATCAAATAATATAAAGCTACAAAAACAGTTTAACCCAATTTTTGCTTTTAAACATATATGCATAGAAAAAACAGAAAAGGCAAGTACTATTGGTTGGATTATGGATAACTGTGATTTTTTTCCCCTACTGCTCATCTGTTTTGTATTCACTTGAAAATATATTATATCATGTAATAATGTACTTTTGAGTTATACCCAAAACAGGTCCAAATAAACTATGGAAGAGCACAACTACACATGAATATTTGACTATAGCTAAACTCTGATTTATGATCACAGGACTGAAGTTATTTCAAGAAACTATAAAAATGTGTAATGCAAAGGCATTTAGAAGTCAACTTTAAAACACAGCTATATTTAGAGCCTAAATTATAAATATAACTATTTCTGTACAAAAAAGTATTTAAGAGAAATTTTCACTATAAACAGTGATACTACACCATAATCAGGTAGGCTGAAAAGATTAATAAATTCGTTTAAATGAAGTAAAATAATGTTACAAAGGAACTTATTTCATTATATCTATACAGTAGAAAAACATAACAGATACAATTCAGTTGTTCAACAACAGGCCAGGGACTAGACAAACTGTGAGTAATAAAAAAATGTTCCTCAAGAAGCTATCTAATGGAGAGAAATGACACTGTTAATAAATCAAATAAAAAGAGTTAAAGGCTATGGTTGAGGTTTGAAAGTAGTACAATGAAAGAAGCAAACAACTAAGCCATGGTAGTTTGGGAAGTATTTACAAAGATGACAGTTGAGCTGGGTCTTGAGAAAGTAGTAAGAGCTTATCAGGTGAAAATCATTATTAGACACTTCAAAAACCTTAAAACAAAAGCCAACTGCCTCACAATTTTGTTACACTGCTCTTTTGTTGCATTTTATAGTCTTAAAGGTCAGCAACAGAAAAACCAGTCTCAGGAAAATGAAGATAATCTTGCAATACTGAGCAAGGAAGTTACGCCTGCTGAGAAAATTCCATATTCAAGAGAGAAGACTGCTTTGGGTTTATCTTGATGGAAAAAGGCACTCTTTGAAGTTTAACTACATCTAAGTTATATCTAAGTTAGGCAACTGTGGTGTTGGAGAAGATTCTTCAGAGTGCGTTAGACTGCAAGGAGATCCAACCAGTCCATCCTAAAGGAAATCAGTCCTGAATATTCACTGAAGGACTGATGTTGAAGCTGAAACTCCAATACTTCGGCCACCTGATGCAAAGAACTGACTCATTGGAAAAGCCCCTGATGCCGGGAAAGATTGAAGGCGGTAGGAGAAGGGGATGACAGAGGATGAGATGGTTGGATGGCAGCACCAACTCAATGGACATGAATTTGAGCAAGCTCTGGGAGTTGGTGATGGACAGGGAGGCCTGGCAGGCTGCCGTCCATGGTGTCACAAAGAATCAGACACGACTGAGGGATGCCAGCAAATATAGAAAACTCAGCAGTGGCCACAGGACTGGAAAAGCTCAGTTTTCATTCCAATCCCAAAGAAAGGCAATCCCAAAGAATGCTCAAACTACCGCACAATTGCACTCATCTCACGCGCTAGTAAAGTAATGCTCAAAATTCTCCAAGCCAGGCTTCAGCAATACGTGAACTGTGAACTTCCAGATGTTCAAGCTGGTTTTAGAAAAGGCAGAAGAACCAGAGATCAAGTTGCCAACATCTGTTGGATCATCAAAAAAGCAAGAGAGTTCCAGAAAAACATCTACTTCTGCTTTATTGACTACGCCAAAGCCTTTGACTCTGTGGATCACAACAAACTGGGGGAAATTCTGAAAGAGATGGAATACCAGACCACATGACCCTCCTCTTGAGAACCTGTATGCAGGTCAGGAAGCAACAGTTAGAACTGGACAGGGAACAACAGACTGGTTCCAAATAGGAAAAGGAATATGTCAGGGCTGTACATTGTCACCCTGCTTATTTAACTTATATACAGAGTACATCATGAGAAACGCTGGGCTGGTAGAAGCACAAGCTAGAATCAAGATTGCCGGGAGAAATATCAATAACCTCAGATATGCAGATGACACCACCCTTATGGCAGAAAGTGAAGAGGAACTAAAGGGCCTCTTGATGAAAGTGAAAGAGGAGAGTGAAAAAGTTGGCTTAAAGCTCAACATTTCAGAAAACTAAGATCATGGCATCTGGTCCCATCACTTCATGGCAAATAGATGGGGAAACAGTGGAAACAGTGTCAGACTATTTTTGGGGCTCCAAAATCCCTGCTGATTGTGAGTGCAGCCATGAAATTAAAAGACACTTACTCCTTGGAAGGAAAGTTATGACCAACCTAGACAGCATATTAAAAAGCAGAGACATTACTTTGCCAACAAAGGTCCGTCTAGTCAAGGCTATGGTTTTTCCAGTGGTCACATATGGATGTGAGAGTTGGACTGTGAAGAAAGCTGAGTGCCAAAGAATTGATGCTTTTGAACTGTGGTGTTGGGGAAGACTCTTGAGAGTCCCTTGGACTGCAAGGAGATCCAACCAGTCCATCCTAAAGGAGATGAGTCCTGGGTGTTCATTGGAAGGACTGATGTTGAAGCTGAAACTCCCAATACTTTGGCCACCTGATGCGAAAGTTAACTCACTGGAAAAGACGCTGATGCTGGGAGGGATTGGGGGCAGGAGGAGAAGGGGACAACAGAGGATGAGATGGCTGCATGGCTCACTGACTCGATGGACATGAGTTTGAGTAAACTCCGGGAGCTGGTGATGGACAGGGAGGCCTGGTGTGCTGTGATTCATGGGGTCACAAAGAGGCAGACAGGAAGGACTGAGCGACTGAACTGAACTGAACTGAGGGACTGAAGTTAGGCGATCTCAGTCTCTGGCACCACTTAAAAGTACTAACAAAAAACCATCAGTTTGGCCACAGTTTTAAATCATGTATTTTAACATGTGTGAGCAAATTTCAGTTGGCCTCCCATAACACATTGAAAACCTCACACTGTTAGTAAGGGAAAATCTAAGATGCCTCTTGAGAAGGATAGGTACTGGGACTCCAATATGCATCCTGGGCGGTACTTTTTTTTTTCTTATGGGCTATGGATTGGGATAATTTAATGTAATTATATAAGTGTTCCAGCAGAGAAAATGGCTGAGGCTATATTTTAAAATGTAAGAAACTTCTGAATTAAGGACATGTGCCAAGTTGCACAGTAGTGTCCGACTCTTTGCCACCCCATGGACTGTAGCCTGCCAGGCCCCTCTGTCCATGGGATTCTCCAAGCAAGGATACTGGAGTGGCTTGCCATGCTCCTCTCCAGGGTTGGCAGTACGTTTTAAAGACATAAGAAATGCTTATAAATATATGATGAATGAGGTAAACGACCATTCTATACGGTTAACAATGATTACAACGAGGCAGAAAAGTTAATTCCTAAACTTACCAAGAGAAAAAAGCCTACAAGGTTCTGAGACCAGGAGGTACCACTGCAGGGAGAACCTGCCTAACTCTGCTCCTTGGACTTCCTATAATTCTGGACACCCACTGAAATTAAAGAACTGAAAGTGAATGAAACTGAGTTTATTTAAACTGAACAAATTTTATGCAGTAGAAGATGCAACTTTTGAGTAATTAACTCAACCCAAATGCGGTCTTCAAGTGGATCTGGTTTCGGGGAGAGAGCAACATATCCTATTCTTTACTCTCTTGACTTGGAGTCAAATAATTACTGGGAACAACATAAGGAACACTGTTTCCAGGTAGTGGCGGTTCAGGAGACGGGAGAGAATGGAAAAACAATTAAAGCGATAAACCAAGGTTGCAAGGGAGTCATGTAGTAGCCAGTGAACTAGAAACTCTGGATATTTAATAGATATGGACACCAATAGTGGAACCAGGAGCTGGTGCAAGTCCAGCCAAGGGCTGGAGGCAGGCAGCGAGAGAACAGTCGCTGTCAGATCCTTCGGCCTCCACGGCAAAAGATCACCGCCCGCCCCCCGCCCCAACCCTCTAGCTGAAATGCTCCCAGTACTCAGCACCGGCCCACAAGCACCCCCTCCCCACAATAACCCCCCACAGCCCCAAAAGCCCAGCCGGAGGGACAGCGCCGTCGTTCACTTACTGAGCTGTCCCCCACCCGACGTCGTACTCGGCTCCCGACCTCCTGCGCCTCCAAGGCCGGCCGCCCCGGGGACCCCCGGCGCCCCCGTCCCCGGCGGGGTCCCGCGCTGCCCCTCGAAGTTGCCAGGGTTGGGGAAGTAGTCGCGCAGCCCAGGGAGCTCGCGCCCGCTCTCTAACAGCTCGGTGTGCAGCTCCAAGGCGGTCAGCAGGTACTGATCGCGCAGCAGCTGGGCAGCGATCGCATCAATTGACAGGCGGGCCGGGGTCTCCCCCAGGGCCCCCCAGGGCCGCCGCCGCCGCCTCCCCGGGGAGCCCAGCTCGGGCACTGCTCCCCAAGGCCACGGGGTCCTGGGGCGACAGCGAGTCCGCAGAGCCTGGATCTAGGCCGCCCCCGGCACCCAGCCGAAGTCCTGCCCGCCGCTCGTCGGTCGCCGAGACCTCGTCCTCATTCTCGTCCGAATCGCTGAGGAAAGGGTTCATGCAGCCGCAGCCGCCACCTCCAGGCGCCATCGCCGCCATCTTACACTGTCGAGAGTGTGGGCGCCTCCTTGTTTGGCTCTGACAGACCGCGGCCTGAATCCCCGCTCAGCCTCGGCAGGCACCGCTCGCTTCCACAGACCCGGCCTTGCCACGTCCAGCCTCCTCACCTGGAGATCAGGTGCAGGCTCGGAAGCGAACCGTCCGGGGGCTGCAGCGGTAGCAGCAGCCACTGCCTCAGCCGCAGCTGCACCAGCAGCCCGGCTCTGCGGGCGTCTTCCCGGTCCCCGGTCTCACGAGAAATGGCGCGTGCCCCGCCCCTCTCCCCGCCCCGTCCCGCCCCGTCCCGCCCCGCCTGCTCCCCACGCTTGTAGCAGATACTGAGGGGCCCCGCGCCCTGCCCAAAGGCAAAGCCCCACCCCACTCCTTTTTGATTGGTCGCAGGAGGTAGGGGCGGGGATTGGAGTCACGGAGGGCTGACCCAGGAATTATCGCGAGAGTAGCTTCTGGCCAGTAAGTGTCACGGTCGTTTCGGGGTTGGAGGGCGTTTATGACTGTGGCTTAGGAATCTTCTCTTCTGGGCCGGAGGGGAGCTCTGACTCGCAGCCGGGTCCCGCCTTCGCGCTGACGAGACCTCGTTTCCGAGGTCAGGCCTGACCTGCTCAAGCCCAGGTAGAGTCCGGGAGAAGTGGGGGCAGGGGCCGGCCCGACACTGGCCCTCGCCTGGGTGCTCTGCCCCCTCTTACTTCGCTCCTGCGGCGTGCGCTGCCCGCTGCTGACGTTTTCCCCGCGGGGGTGGCCGGTGCCGGGCAGGGCCGGTGGTCAGAAGGGGGCTTGCTTCCTCTTTCTCGCCCTCCCAGCCTCGTGCCTGCGGGACCCGGGGGGCTGGGTGCGGCCCAGGAACAGAGCCAATGGAACAGGCAGCGGGGACGTTGGGATCTGCTTGGATCTGCGAATATCCCGACAGTCTCGACTTCGGTAACAAACTATTAGGAGAGCAGTAAGCACTTGTGATTTAATATACAGCTTGCACAATGAGGACGCTTCAAAAACGTCAAATGCTGTCCCTCAGAGAGTCCCTTGCAGAGCAAGGAGATCCAGCCAGTCCATCCTAAAGGAAATCAGTCCTGAATATTCATTGGAAGGACTGATGCTGAAGCTGAAACTCCAATACTTTGGCCACCTGATGCGAAGAACTGACTCATTGGAGAAGACCCTGATGCTGGGAGGGATTGGGGGCAGGAGGAGAAGGGGATGACAGAGGATGAGATGGCTGGATGGCATCACCAACTCAATTGACACGTGTTTGAGCAAGCTCCGGGAGTTGGTGATGGACAGGGAAGGCTGGCATGATGCAGTCCATGGGGTCGCAAAGAGTCAGACACGACTGAGCCACTGAACTGAACTTGGGGTATTTGTTTTGTTTTTGGTAGAAGCTTTTTTGATGCTTTTAATACTAAGAATTGGAAGAATTTTTTTTAACAGAACATTAGCTCCTAGTGTTTAATTCTAAATTTATGTGTGTCTGTATGCGCATGCAGTGTATTGAAAAAAGCATGGAAAAAAAATCCCAGATCTTAGGAAAATAGTATCAAAAGAGACACCAGTGTTGTTTCATAGTCCTTAGCTAAAAGGATTGCTGATCTTTATTGTAATTGAGTTGCCAGAGAGATTGAAGATGGAACCACTTTCTGGAATGGAAAAATGGGGAGGATTAGGGAATGGCATGGAAAAGGCATGTTTAGAAATGGGTTATTTATATGCAGTATTTCCTCCTGTGTAATGGGAATTGTACACATCTGTTGTACTTAAGGTTCCCACACTTAGGGTCTTCCTCTCAAGGACTGTGCTTATTAGGTTGAAGAGCCTACAGTTCATATCCCTGTCCTGCCAATGATTTGCCTTGAGACTTTTAAAAAGTTACTTGACTTCTCTCAGCCTCCTCTGTCAAGGAGATACTTAAAGTACACAGACTTAGGAATGTGCTTGTCACAGTACCTGGTACCTAGTACACAACAAATGTTATAATCATTTATCAATTAATGTACTACCCATATATCTTGAGAATATTTGACAGATTTTTAAAAGTAAAGTGAAACAAACCTGATGTTAGTCACTTAGTAGCATTAGCCAGAAAAAGCTAATTGCTCCAAAGTAGGCCCCAAAGGGAATATCTTTTAGGGTCTGACTTCTAAAATGAAAATTGAGAATAGATTTAAAATGTTTCCTCAGAGAGTTGTAAGAAGTTGGATATAGAAGTTCTTCCTTGATCAGCAGCTTCCTACGACACATCTGTAATTCCCTGGTTCTACTTCATATCCTGTAATCATGGACTTGTTAATATGACCTTCCAAGCCCCTAACAAATCAAATGGCCAGTTGTCTCAGTAAGTACCTTTCTCTTCCACAGTGCATAGAGATTTCCTTATCAACTAAAAATGTTGAAGAAATATTAATAGTGCCTACTAAGATATTATTAACAATTGCTGATTTATATTTAATAATAATTTGCCATTAATATTATTGAGGAATTTTCCTACTTACCAAGTTTTGCATTAATCTAGGTCTTTACAGCCAGTGTTTCACTGAATAATCTGGATAGTCATTGATGCTTGTATGTTAGTGGTAAAAATATAAAAGATCGCTTTTTTCCAAACACTTCAATTGTTTTCTTGATTAAAAAATTATTTTTTTGTTTTAGTACTCTTAAAATAACCACAAGTAATATTTTCAGTGCAAGTTTTTCATTGATGTAAAATTTTATAAATATCTAACTTTTTATACATTTTTACATATTCTAATTTTTGACATTGTTTTTCAGTGTGTGGTAAACATCCCAGAGGTATAAGTTAAATGACTTTTATTGATACATGGTTATGTGTATTTTAAACATTTTAGTAGTTATTCATTTTTTTAGGTGATTTCCAAATGATTCATCCATGAAAAAGTTTTTTTTCACTAAATTTGAATAAAAAGTGTTTAAAAAAAGAGAAATATTAAATGATAATAGTGCTTAATTATATGTGCGTAGCTATAATAAATTAAGTAACATGTGAAGGATGATATTTTGGAATCACTGAAATTTTATGTATGCCGCTGCTGCTGCTGCTAAGTCGCTTCAGTCGTCTCCAGCTCTGTGCGACCCCATAGATGGCAGCCCATCAGGCTCTGCCGTCCCTGGGATTTTCCAGGCAAGAACACTGGAGTAAATGACAAATATGAAAGTTACTGTGGTTGTATTTATCTTGAATCTTCACTGCTCTTGTGTCTGTTCTGGGGGAATAAATAGAGAAGCAAGACAGCCTCTAGTGGCTACAGTGCACATCACACATACCATTGAAAGGATAATCCTAGGTTATTTAATAGCCCTGAATAAGTGCCCAGGACTGGGCGGAGTACTGGAGAAAGCCTGTCTTGCTGTCCTGGAATCAGCATGAAGTTACAGAGGCAGACATTACTACAAATAGTCAGCTGTGTAGTTATAAACTGCAGTAAAGGTTTGAGCTTCTGATTTGGACTGAGTAGTCCCTGAGGAAGTGATGCTCGAAAGTGCCCGGGAGGGACCGACTAAGATCCCACTGTTACTATGTGAGAGAGCTAGACTTTTGTGTTAGCTATTACAGCTTCAGGGTCAAAGTTCTCAAATGTTTATTTTACTGCTTCAGTAAGCTTTAGGGCAGTGGAAAATTTGTATTGTCCTTTAACACACTTTGATACTTTTGACACTTTGATACTTTTTACAGAAAAGTTGTGTAACAACAGTGGGGAAAAGAAAGAACATAAGTCCAGGGAGTTATTTGTAAATGCAAAATAAAGTGAGAAATGATAAAGATATTTCCTTATTAATGAACATGATAAGTAGGGTACTCAGGTTTCCATGGTAGAGAGGAGTATTTAACTCAATGGGAGCTTCTCTACATCTAGGTAGATACCATATGTACTTTAGTTGTAAATCGAGTTTAAGATCTTACTGAAATGAATTAAAATGAGTTGAAAAATGAGTTACTTTGCATAACTAAATATGATACCTAATAGAAGAGTTCTGAACTCCCACACCAGGAGAAACCAAAAGAGAAAAGCCAGATGGCCGTGTCCCTCTCACTGGACAGGATCTCACGTGATCCGCCCCTCTCACTTTTGCTTTTGTCAGAAGCACTTGACAAAATCTGGCATTTTTCATATTGAGAGTAAAAGAGAACTTCTTTAATGTAACAAAAGGAGTCTCTGAAAAACAACCTGACAACTTGCATCCTAAGACTGGAAACACGGCAGGATTTCTGTTGTTTCCACACCTACTCGACATTACACTAGAAGTCCTGGCCAGTGCAAGCATGAGACATAAATAAAAAGTGTATAGATTGATAAGGAAGGAGTCCTTTTATTCACAAGTGACATAATTTTTCTCCTTGGAAAATCAAAAGGCATCTACATGAAAACTACTGTAACAGTTTTTCAGTGTTGCAGAATGCAAGGTGAATATATAAAAATCAGTGGTCATTTAAAAACTAACGAGGGGAAACTGAAATAAATGCCATTTACAATAACATCAAAAAGTGAAATATATAGGGATGAGCCACAGGGGCATGAGGAAACTTTTGAGGGTTATGAGTATGTTCACTCTCCTGTGATTATTATACACTTGAATATGTACACAGCTTATTACAGGCCAGTTATGCCTTAATAAAGCTATAAAAATGCTGTGAAGAACAATACTGGGACACCTCAAAAAGTTGGAGTATAAATGGTAGATTAGGTAAAATACTGACGTTGAGTTTATTGAAGTTGGTAATCACCGTAGGTACCTAAGGGAATATCATTATTGTCAGAAAATAAACACTGAAGTATACACCCGCCTTCCCCCGCCCCACACCCACACTCACACCCGAGAGGGGTAAGTTAAAGAGACGAGGCAAGGACCAGAGAAAAATGATAATGTTAGAGATATATGGCTCAGGGGTGTATGGATGTTTGTACCATTACTGCAGCTTTTCTCTGAACTTGAAATTGTTTTAAAATAAAAATATTAAAAGTCTGTACCAAAGAAAGGGTTGTCATCTACAAAAATTCCCTAGGTGGAACACAAAATACAATTGCCAAAAGAAAAGTTAATTCATTGAACTTTCAGAATTTTTAAGTACTGCTCTTTGAAAAACATGGTTAAAAAAATGAAAAGGGGATAAAAAAGATTAAAAAATGTCCACTACATTCATGTAAAGTAGCTCAACATTATTGATCACCAGGGAAATGTAAATTAAAACCACAATAAGTTAACAGACTGTACAAAATTTAACAGATTACAATACCAAGTTTTGGCCAATGTAATGGTTATGGCATTGAGGATATAATGCTCAGTGAAACAAGTCAGTCACAGGAGGACAAATGTGCACATTTCTCCTTGTCTGAGATAATCCAGAAGAGTCAAACTCATGATGGGTGTGGGTGGGCGGTGATGTTCAATGGCTGTAAAATCTCACTTATGCAAAGTGAATAAGTTGTCAAGATCTGATGTATAACAGTGCCTATAGTTTGAAATACTGTATTTTACATGTTAAAATTTAAGAGGGTAGATCTTATGTTAAGAACTCTCTTCTTTCTTTTTAAGTCTCTCAGTCATGTCCAACTCTTCATGACCCCATGGACTAGAGCCCGCCAGGCTCCTCTGTCCATAGAATTCTCCAGGTCAGAGTACTAGAGTGTGTTGCCATTCCACATCTCCAGGGGATCTTCCCAAGCCAGGGACCGAACCCAGGTCTCCCGCTTTGCCAGCGTATTCTTTACGGTTTGAGCCCTCGTAGCCACAACTTGAAAACAATTACCCATGTAGATAAGGCAAGTAGCCGCCGAACAATGAAGCGTATTGAAAGACGGAGGAAATGTGTCCACCAAGCTAAGATGTTTTTTGAGACTGAAAATGAGGCAGGCAGCTCTCGTCATCAAATAAGTTGAAAACATATTTGTTTGCACTAAGGCTTACCCAGATTTAATTTTCTCCCTCTTTCCAGTTTCCCTTGGAGATTAGTTCCTCTGGATATGCTGCTGTACGTTACTTGGGCTTGCTCGTGCACTTCGTGTTCTTTGCCTCCATCTTCGACATGTATTTTACGTCTCCTTTGGTTCATGGAATGACTCCTCAGTTTATACCCCTGCCTCCCCCAGCAAAACGATTAGTGCTGTTTGTCGCTGATGGCCTGCGAGCAGATAAACTTTATGAATTAGAAGAAGATGGAAATTCTAGGGCACCATTTGTTAGGTAAGCATGTCAGCTGGTACAGAGACATCTCTGGAAAGTGTTACGCTGATACTGTTTATCTCGCATTGGGTAGAGGGGTGATGATGAAAAAGAGAGTAGGGCTCATATGCCTCTGCCTTTGTCATAGAATTTAGCAAGTGTGTTTCCTTCTACAGTTACTTCTGTTATTGTGGAAGTTGATACCAGGAAGTCGAAATGCTTAACCTTAGCTGCTTGGCCTCACTTGTCCTGATTTCTGAATCCTGGCTTACAACTCAGTATATTATCTTTTTTTCTGTTTTGTAAAGTAAGACTGTTCAATTTTTAAGTAATGACAAGCATAAATTTCAGTGAATTGCCAATTACAGAGGTATTTAGCTAAAAAATAAAATTTCTATTCAAAATATGTTTTCTATAAAATAAAACCTTCCAAATTTATATCACTATGTAATATGATAATTTTGGATTCTGTTAAGTGGTTTTGAAAAGAAATATTTAATTTTTTGGACCTGTGGGGTTCTTGCAATCAACTATTGTTCTTTTTTTTTTTTTTCTCATTCATAGCAAGCCCCTCAAAAGCCCTTCCTAATGCTACTGTGGAGAGATTAAAACTCAAATTCAAGGGAAGTTTATCTGAAATTGTCTGTCTTTCCCCTGTCCCTACCTGTCACCATTGCTTCCTATGCCTCTACCCTGTTTTGATTTTCTTTATAGTACTACTTAGCATGTACAACTTCCTCTAAGGCAGGGACTTTGTTTTATACACTACATTATCTCTGGTGCCTAAAACACAGTAGGCAGTTAATCAATATTTGTTGACTGCTAGAAGAATGAATGAACCTGAATTCTATGTCAGATTTCCAGGAATAAATTGATGGTACATCAAAGAAATGCAGAATATATTAAAGGATACAAAGAAACAAGCAACTCAGGGCAATAGGAAAATATGAGTAGGAAAATAAGGTTGTCAGGGTTAGGTTCAGTACACAAAAATATGTAATATAAGTTTCTATGACTAGTTTAAAAATTGGGGTGATATATTTGGTTGCATTTCTTAGTTGTCATAGAGAGGAGAGAAATGTAGTTCACTGCGAAGTTAATGACATTAAAATATACTGGTTGTTCAGGCAAAGATGAGTGTCTCTGACAGCGCCTGTTTCTCCCCGGGGTGTTCTTCATTTTTTTAAAAATACGATCTAATCAAAATGTTTCTCAAGAGAGGTATCCACATTGCTTTATACCTCCCTGTTTTTGCTTGAGTTCAGTTTCCATTATAGAACTGAAGAAGTTAGAAAATATTTCTCTCTTAACATGTGGTTTAATGGTTTTTCAAGCCTTTTACTTTTTATGTATGTATTTTACCAAAGTCTGTTTGGTTATAAGTCAATTAAAAGTGTCTAAATCAGCACTTTTAGGTACTTCTCTCCAGAGCATTTTGAGAGTTGAGAGTTCAGCTTGAAAACTGTTACAGATGAATTCATGTTTCATGACTTGTTGCTCTGCTGGCCTTTCACCTGCAATGGCATTACTGTTGCTTTTGCGTTTTTCTCCAGATTTTGCAAATCACCCTTAGCTTAAAGAATATGGTGATACATTTTAGCAAAACAAACTTTTGACTTGTTTTAATCTCAGTAACCTCAGATATGCAGATGACACCACCCTTATGGCAGAAAGTGAAGAGGAACTAAAGAGCCTCTTGATGAAAGTGAAAGAGGAGAATGAAAAAGTTGGCTTAAAGCTCAACATTCAGAAAACTAAGATCATGGCATCCGGTCCCATCACTTCATGGGAAATAGATGGGTAAACAGTGGACACAGTGTCACACTTTATTTTGGGGGGGTTCCGAAATCACTACAGATGGTGATTGCAGCCATGAAATTAAAAGACACTTACTCCTTGGAAGGAAAGTTATGACCAACCTAGACAGCATGTTAAAAAGCAGAGACATTACTTTGCCAGCAAAGGTCCATCTAGTCAAGGCTATGGTTTTTCCAGTAGTCATGTATGGATGTGAGAGTTGGACTGTGAAGAAAGCTGAGCACCAAAAAATTGATGCTTTTGAGCTGTGGTGTTGGAGAAAACTCTTGAGAGTCCCTTGAACTGCAAGGAGATCCAACCAGTCCATCCTAAAGGGTGTTCATTTGAAGGACTGATGCTGAAGCTGAAACTCCAGTACTTTGACCACCTGATGCGAAGAGTGGACTCATTGGAAAAGACGCTAATGCTGGGAGGGATTGGGGGCATGAGGAGAAGGGGACGACAGAGGATGAGATGGCTGGATGGCATCACCGACTCGATGGACATGAGTTTGAGTAAACACCGGGAGTTGGACGGGAAGGCCTGGTGTGTTGCGATTCATGGGGTTGCAAAGAGTTGGACACGACTGAGCGACTGAACTGACTGAATCTCAAATTTAGAAAGATAATTTAACTCCTAATTGAGAGTATAGCTGTTTCCTCTCTTAATTTTTTATTTTGAAAAACTTTTAACTACAGAAGTGTTGAAAGGATTATACCATGAGTATTCATCTGTATATCCTTAATCTAGATACGACCATTTTAAACATTTTTCATATTTGCACTTTCTGTCTCAATACACACACACACATATACACACTTAAACTTTATTATTTTTTCCTGAAGAATTTGAAAGCAAAGTATTTTAACACTTTACCCCCAAACACTTCAGTGTGTATCTCCTAAGAACAAGGACTTCAACATGATCACAAAACCGTCATCACACCTAATGAAATTTAACACTGACAAAGTAATACTTTGTGTATCAGTGATTTCTTATGTAGCACAACGTTTCAATACTTTGTGACTTAGAGCTGTAGCCTGTATTTTGTTTTGTGATTCTGTGCAGTGGTTGCGTGGTTCCTTGTCTAAGAAAGTTCCTTGGGCTTTCTTATGCCACGGAATCCATCTGGTGGGAGGAACTGGGCTGAGCCCAGCTGGGATCAGAAATGTTCCTTCTTAAATTTTGACTCCTTCTTTTGATTGGATTTCTTCTGTGGTGATCTTGTTTTTCTAAAGCCTTACCAGAGCATGTGGTCATAGTGTGTGCTGACTCCTCGTCTGTGATACATTTCAGGAATGTCATAATGAACGAAGGCAGCTGGGGCACCTCTCACACGCGTGTGCTGACCGAGTCTCGGCCCAGGCACGTGGCCATGATTGCAGGGTTTTATGAAGATGTCAGCACAGTTGCCAAAGGTACTATCTCTTTAGATGGTTTTATCACATGAAGAGATTGATTGTATAAATATGGCTTCTTTAATACTGAATCATGACACAAAGCGAAGTATGTTTTGAGATCCTTTTGACAAGTCATTTAGCTTGCCTAAGTCACTTAAACAGGCACTGGGACTGACTCAAGAATAAAACTTTAATCTTGTATCATCATGTCCTGTTAATAGAATATGATTGGATGGATATCTGGTTTTCCTAGATGTTAACTCTCAAAAGTTAAAAAGTGATTTGGTATTTTAGTAAGAAGTCAATTAACTGTTGTAAGCTTTTAAAGAAAAATTTGTAGTATAATACAGATAACAAAATCTGTTGCTAGTTTTGCATTTGTTCTGCAGTTAATCCTCTTTGTTGTTATTTGAAAAATACTTCTTCAGGAGCCATACTGATACCTCACCATCTAAATATTACTGTTGTCATTGTTTGTTTTTTTTTCTCAATTACCTCAAGGATGGAAGGAAAATCCTGTAAAATTTGATTCTCTTCTTAATGAAACCAGGTACACATGGTCCTGGGGAAGCCCAGACATCATGACTATGTTTACCAAAGGTAGGGGTCACTGATTATATTTCCCCAGATATTAAGTAGGCAATAAATCAAGATGGTAATTTAAAATATATATATTTTACTTATTATGAGATACATGTTTTGACATATTTAACAATCTCTGAAATGAGTGTATATTATAATAGATATGTGAGTTTGATTTTTTTCATCTTAGTTGTACTTAAAATGTTGGATTATACCTTGGATTCAGTGAAATGGTATATGATTCTAACATCTAACAGCTTTTTAATTTTGGGTGAGTTAGATAACGTCTCTAAATTTCAGTCTTCTTTTTTGTAAAATGTGATAATAATAATTTCTATCTTATAGGTTTGTTTTGGGCGTTAAATAAGTTAATTCATGTGAAATATTGACCAGAACGCTTATTAGAATGATCTCATTGTGATGATGTTCACATACTTTGGTTATTAAGAAGTTAGTATATAATCACATAAAGATTTAAAAATTTAAAATTTATATTTATAACTTCTATTTTCATGTATTCAAGATCATGCCATTGAGATTTGTTGTATTTATTGTGTTTCTGTGCATGAATCTGCAAGTATGAGAACATCTCTTGATGAGAAAATGTATTTGCGTCATTTTCTAGAATCAGCTGGATTCCACTTGAATTTTATGTTATTAAGTGCTTTTTAGTGGGAGCATTGTAGTCATTTCACCTAATGAAAAGGTTTGGACCTTTAGCCATGGGTATAATTATACTATAAATAATAACAATCGGATCATTAAAGATTATTCTATATCTCAAAAGCAAAACAGATACTCAGAATTTTCTGTATGATAGTCACAGAACATTATCATGTAGAGCAGGTCCAAAAACTCATATTGCTTGCCATTTATATACTCCCTTAGTTCAGTTCAGTCGCTCAGTCGTGTTGGACTCTTTGCGACCCCATGGACTGCAGCACGCCAGGCCTCCCTGTCCATCACCAACTTCCAGAGTTTACGCAAACTCATGTCCATTGAGTCGGTGATGCCATCCAACCATCTCATTCTCTGTCATCCCCTCTCCTCCCGCCTTCACTCTTTCCCAGCATCAGGGTCTTTTCCAGTGAGTCAGTTCTTCGCATCTGGTGACCAAAGTATTGATGCTTCAGCTTCAGCATCAGTCCTTCCAATGAATATTCAGGACTGATTTCCTTTAGGATGGACTGGTTGGATCTCCTTGCTGTCCAAGGGACTCTCAAGAACTTCTCCAACACCACAGTTCAAAAGCATCAATTCTTTGGTGCTCAACTTTCTTTATAGTCCAACTCTCACATCCACACATGACTCCTGGAAAAAACATAGCTTTGACTAGATGGACCTTCATTGGCAACGTAATGTCTCTGCTTTTTAATATGCTGTCTAGGTTGGGTATAGTTTTTCTTCAAAGCAGCAAGGAGTTAAGCTTTTTTTGGTAGTGGTGAGAATGAAGTTGCTATGGTTTACCAAATTCACCTCCCTACTTCTGACTACAGTTCATAGGACAGGATCAGTGCCTTAACTGGAGACAATCCAATAGAAGTGTTCCATTTCTTATAGTAACTTGCAGTCTCACTCAGACCTTTACTTGGGATTTGAAGAGTAGAATGGTTGAGGAGTGGAACCAGTATCATTAGAGCTTAGCTTGTCATTATTATAAGAGATTGTCATTATTTTATCTCTTCCTTATGACCTTTAAGAGGCTATCTAACTCAGAAATTCACTAAGTTGATTAGATCCTTAATAAAATCATACAAGTGTATAGATTAATATATTTGTTGACCCTTTCAAACTATTTGGCAATTATCAATATTTTTTCTCATATATTGAGGAAAATGCATGTATTTTATGAACAAAAGAATTGAAATATTTGAGTCTTCTTCTTGGTTAGGGAATTTTGTAAAACAGGTGATTTAATCTATTTTAGATTGTACCATCCCTAGATGACCAAATTCTTTGATTAGTTTCATCCTTACTTGAAGACAAACTCTTTTGTTTACTTTTGTGCTATTGTATACTAACTAGCGTTGTGATTTTTTCTCTTAGCATTTCAATTACAACTCACTTGTATCAGTAAAATTGGAAAATGTTACTGTGAGAACAAAAGCAACAGCATATGTTCAAGCATATACCATGGTCCATAGCATGTCATTAAAATCCTCCCCCCAATTTCCTCTTCAGGTGACCTTGGAAACCATATTTTTGCACACACTTAACGATGCATCCAGTGAGGATTTTGGTGCCCACGATGTAACAAAACTGGACACGTGGGTTTTTGATCATGTGAAGGTATGTGCTGTTGAGTGGCTAACCTGCAACACACTAGATGTAGGTATTTGTCTAATGTGCACTGGTTGTCTAGTACCTGTACCTAATATACTAGAACCCGATTTGTGAATACGTGCATCTTAGTTTTTCTGCTTGGATGAATTTGAAAGTTCCATACTGTAGCATATTATTTTGAAAAGACTGGATTCTAAGAAATTGCACATTCTACAATAACTATACAGGTTTTTAAAAAATAATTTGGAAAAGTAAACCCTTTTCACTTCCACACTTCTGACAGTGAAGTGAGCCCTGGATGGGATTCAGGAACCCCACATTTCATTCCTCGTTTGCTGAATCACTCCAGATAGCCTTCCTGGTCTTTTGTTTGACCACAGAACCAGTCTCTTACAACCAGTCTCTTGTGATGTATGTGAAAGTCTTTTGAATGTTCAAATCTAAGGCATTTATTATAAAATAAGGTAGATAGTTTAAATATTTGTAAAGAAAAATTAGATAAGCAAAAAACAAGTTCATAAGTTACTCATAATAAAACATTTGAGTCTCTTTGAGAAATAGAGGGGTTTTTTTTTAACTATTTGTTAGTGACAATCCTCTCAGTTTCACCAGGAATCCAATAGAGTTAATGTTTTCAAAAGTTGTGAGAGAATCTCAGCTCTGGATATTGGCTGACTCCTATCTATCATTCTCTTCTTGCTCATCTCCAAATTAGAACTCATAATTCATCTATTATAAGAGGTATTCATTGACTGACCTTTAGTGGTTCTTCTGTTTACCAGTAGTGTCTCTGGACTGACATTGTGGGCTTCTCCATAACACAGTCATTTTTTATTGTTTGTTTGTAAACAGTCAGTAGGTGTCTACATATTTATCAGGAATTAAGTGCTCAATATGTTCTTTGATAAACCCTATTTCTTTTCTTAGAATTTTTTTCCTTAAGATTATCTTTTCTTACTCAAAATAAAAGTGAAAATCTTCAAGTTAAATAAAATCTCTTTACAAAAATAGCAAATGATTTTGCTAAGTATCACTTCTTAATATAATCAACTTACATTAGTATTTGTTTCAAGGCCCTTGGCTTCTAACTTCATAAACATAGCTAAAAATGTTCAACATCGTGGATTTGATTCATTGTGGATAGGCAGATATAGTTAGTGGCTGGCTTGATTCTATGCCTTTTTTACCATATTTCAACACTGCTATTAATCAGAGAAAAAAATTCCCTATAATTTCATAAGATATGATAGAGTGTGTACATTAATCAGGTAACAACAAAAATATGAAATCATCCACAATAAAGAGTAGTGTGAAGGAAAAATATAGGGACTAAGAATATATCTTTAGAAAAGTTCAACCTAAGCTGAACAGTTAGAGCAAGACTTTCCTCTGAGTTTTGAGATAATCTCTGGCGAAGCCTAGGAAACAAAGAAATGGTTGGACCTGGATTGCATATAGAGAAGAGTATCTCAGGCCAACAGCATAATGATAACTTGGGCTCCAAAGAAATTCTGTAATAGAGTAGAAATATTGCTTTAAAGTTTGTTTGTCTCTCAATGAACGATAATGCCAGAAGTAGGCAGCCGAGGATTGATGTAGTCCAAGATTGCCATGGTGGTTCCCCAGTGCCGTTAAGACCCGGTCTCTTAGTGTGTCTTCTGTCCTCAGAGCATGGCCTTAGCTTCTGAGTTGTCTTACGACTGGAGATGCTGGCGTTCCAGCCGTTATTTCAGTGTTTTAGGTCAACCATACAAGGAATTGAAAAGGACCTTCTCTTCTACTAAATTAAGTTTATTTCAAAAAGACTTTAATAAATAGTTAAACTTATTTCAGAAGGCACATCGTCTTTTGACTGAAGTGTTTGATTTCTATCTCCTTGGCCGTAACCAAAAAAGCACAGACAGGTACCTGTGGGAGACAATAAGAAATATGTAGGTTTTAAGTTTGAAGCACTGACATGTTCCCATAAAATGAGAAGTTTTATTTAGAGAAAAAGGGAGAATGCATGCACTCTCCCACAATGCATAGTAAATATTTAAGTACAAAAAGGAACGAGTGCTTTTGAGCTCAGGAAAAAAATGGGAGTTGGTGGGCATAATTATACTAAATATGGGGAGTGGAGAGGAAGCTAGGAGTGTATTTCACCTCTTGTTTGCAAAAAACCAACTTTTTAAAAGGCAATGGGAATCTATCAGGTTGAGCTCTGCAAGATTAGTGTTTCATGGTTTCCCAGATCGTGTGTCCACGTTTGAATGAACAGCACTTTTTACAAAGCTGAATAATGTCAGTCATGAAACAGATTGTAAGTTCGACTCCACTCAATTGCTAAGTTTTTTTGTTTCTCATCAGCTTTTCAGTTACATCTTTAGAATATAAGTCCTTTCTCTTGAAAAACTTCCCATTTCTATCTGGATTTAAAGTTTCTTAGGGGCTCATTAGAATGTATATGAAAGCTAGGGGGTCATTTTATGCTTTTAAGGATGATTCTGTTTATTTATATTTAATTTATATTTATTTACATTTAATTTCATTTGTATTCCTTTTTTTTTCTATTTGGAAATAGGTAGTTTCTCTAATGGCACCATTTATAAGTTTTTAATGTTTGTAATAATGAAAAGTTAGTTGAAGGAATACTTCAGGCTTTTATTGGAAAGTTAAATACCTTGTTAAAATTAACATCTTATATAGTGAAAGATATTTATGTGAATAACAATTATATATCTTGGCAGTTAGGTGACTTATTCAAAATAATTTAAAAGTACTTTCCATAGGTACTTGCTTATATGTTCTTGTGTATGTAAGTACAGGATGAACCCTTTTCTTAGAGGGCTTTATGAATCCAGTTTATCTTTGTGAAATTAATCATTTTTGATCTCTATTTCCATTTGTTATGTGGACATTTTTCTATCATACCTTGTGAAGCACAGATTCGAGTCTTGGGACGGTAGAAATAGGCTATTTGCAGTGTTCCGAGTGAGAGATTATGGTTGAACTCGGGTGCTAACACAGGACAAGAAGCAGGAAAACATTTTAAACTCATAAAGCGTTCCTAAATTGTTGCCATTAGTGCTATTTTATTGTTGGCTCATGTCAAAATAGTTCTCCGGTATTATTAGAACTTCATGAAATTGAGATCCCCTTTCTATCATCTTTTTTCAGCTATTTTTTAGCAGAAGATAGCTCACTTATATTTTGAATGTAGATGCCTGACCTGACAAGTACTTTGTGTTGGTAGGTCCTGAGGACAAATTTAAACAAAATAGGACAATTTAATTTTTTAGTTCTGTATAAGCTTAATTAAATGTTTTCATTGGAATTACTTTTTAAATAAAATTAATGAACTAAAAAATTTTAACTGATTTGTTACATATAGGAATTCTTTCATGCCACCAGAAACAACCAATCTTTGTTTTCTAAAGTCAATGAAGACAAGATAGTTTTTATCTTACATTTATTAGGAATAGACACAAATGGACATGCTCATTGACCATCATCAAGGTAATTTTAATGCTGTGTTTAATTTCATGGTTTTGAGGGAAATACCTGTTCTGTTTGAACTTTTAAAGGACTGTGATGTTTTCTTTGTAATGATCACACAGAACTTATATTTTGAATAACTCTAAAGTAGAATACATTCTAATTTATATGATAGGTAGTATGATATTGTGACTAAAATCACATGTGCTGTGACCATACTACACATATAATATAAGTAAAATATGTTCTGTATGTGTATTACAGATTACTCATTTGTCAAAGCAGAGAGAAAAAGATTATATTTTAGAAGGATTTTAATAAATTTTCAAACAAAAAGCATTTTTATGATGCTAGTATTTATATCACAAAAAGATGTAACTAGCTGTTCCTTACATTCCATTTAATCAGTGCTATATCTAGCAGATAATAGTATAAAGTTTTGTATACTATATTTCAGTAGCACTCCTTATATAAAACAGCAACTGTTTTTCTCACGTTTGCAGAGCATAAGATAAGGAGAATTCATATTTTACTTTTATTTTTCATTTTGGATTAGATTTAGATTAGTCTAACTAACAGTAAAGTCTATTAACTTCCAATAATGAATACCTCATGCTTCTCTTCTTTAACACAATGCATTGTCTTAAGTAATAAAACTTATACTAAATCACCCCCTTGTTCAATTGTATGGAAAGCTTAAATATAGTTTGTTCAAAATGTATTATATCATATCACAACACACTAAAGAATGAAAATATTCTATAGTTGAAACAGTGATACTTAACCTGTTTGATAAATGTGGCAAGAGCAACATAGTTTACATTATTAGAGACATGAATTTAAAAGTCATCATTGTTTCATTTGAGATTTAAAAAGTATGCATGAAAATCTATTTGCTAATCAATATACTTTTTTAAAAAATATTTTTGAAAATGATTTCAGATTGTTTTACTCCTTTAAGAGAGGAAAAATTGTTTTTAACAATCTACAGAGCTCTGATATAAAAACATTAAGGTTGAAATCTAAAAGTATTTTAGGAGTTATTAACTTTACCATAAATTCATGTTGAATAAATTTGATTTTGCCAAATTAATGTAATTAATATAATTTAGTTTGCTCTTCTGACACAGGGAATATTCAGACAATACTAAATTAGTTGATAAGGAATTGAAAGAAATTGAGTCTACTGTTAAAGATGTTTATAGAAATGATGGGAAAACAGCATTTATCTTTACCGCTGACCATGGAATGACAGACTAGGGTTAGCGTGTCTCTAAGTGATACATACTTTATGATTAAAATAGTGGTAAATGTAGCTTGCAAATATTTTAGGGTATTGAAGAGGATTAGATGTCTTAGTATATGCAAAGTGTCTAGCACATAATAGTATGCGTAAAATGTTAGCGTAAAAAAGACTGATCTTATATAATCTTTCTTCTATGAAAGGAATGTATTCTCATTTGACTTCCCCGGTGGCACAGTTGATAAAGAACCCGCCTGCCAGTGCAGGAGACAGGAGACACGGGTTCAGTCCCTGGGTTGGGAAGATCCCCTGGAGTAGGAAATGGCAACCCCCTCCAGTGTACTTGCCGGAAAAGTTGCATGGACAGAGCCTGGAGGGCTGCAGTCCACAGGGTTTCAGAGTCGGATGCAGCTATGTGTATGCGTGTGTGCACACCCACCCACACACCCACCCACACACACACACACACACACACAGAAGAACCCTCCCCCGCCCCCCAAACCCACATTCATCTACCTAGAAGTAACTGTATGTGATGGCATGGTGCGTGAGTTTAAGGTGGTGTTGCTGGGGGACCTAGGGCTGCTGACCTTGTCCACTAGAGGAGACTGTCCACTCTGCCAGACTCCCAAGGAAGACACTGTGTGCCCAGAGAGCAAATCAAGCAAAGCTGAGACTTGGGTCCCCGGATCACAGTGTAGAATTCTGATGAGGGGGTCCCACTGATTTATCAGGGGGTTTTGGCTACACCAGCTAGAGTGGCCAGGAAGAAAAGCAGACCAAGACTCTGCTTCCTCTTCAGAGCAGAGCTGGCCTGGACCGCCCACCTCAAACCTGGTGGTTACTCCCCAGAGGAGCCTTCCCTGTGGTTTCTGCCTTTGGTGTCACTCTGTTGGCATCTCCTCCAAGCCTTAGTCGTTAGGATTCTTAATCTTCTTTCAACCAGAGTCACTCCACGGGTGTTCTGGTTTTTCTTTTTCCCTGTTCGCTGTTGCTGCTCTGACTTGCCTTGAGGATATTTTAAAACTAATTGTTAAATAGACATGCAACCTTTTGGGAGTGTGGTGGCAGAAATTAGCTCTTTATGGGTCAACTCTTTACAACTAAGTATTAAAAAATAGTTAGGTATAGGTTAATCAGGTATAGGTTCATCTTTATATACTTACATTGCTCTTTGTGCCTTATTTGTAGGCTCCCTTGGAGCTGGTCATCCTTTAGAGACTTGTACTCCTTTTATCGCTTGGGGAGCTGGAATCAGGCTTCCCCAAAAAGTGTCAGCCCCGAAATTTGATGACTCGTATTTGCAAGGTAGGAATGCTTATCTTTATTGTTTTTATGAATGTGACATTTTTAAAATCAAAGTTTAGTTTTAAAAAATGACTTTTCAAATTATAGCTTTCATTTTGTTATTTGTGACATTACTATTTCTGTGTATTACTTTTGTATCATTTATATTATTTCATTTATGATATTCAGCTTAAAATACACATTATTATTTGCCTTATGAAAGTTCAAGTGTACTATTCTTTTTTCACAAACCTTATTACTCTAGGACTCAGATTAAACCCTTGGCTTAGATCTTACCTGCAAAGACTATCAATCAGATAAGCCACATTTATGTCACAATTTACATTTCAAAACTGAACAAATTTTGCCCTGTCTCTAGTACTTGGGCTCAGCTGGTAAAGAATCTGCCCGCAATGCGGGAGACCTGGGTTCGATCCCTGTGTTGGGAAGATCCCCTGGAGAAGGGAAAGGCTACCCACTCCAGTATTCTGGCCTGGAGAAGTCCATGGACTACACAGTCTATGGGGTCGCAAAGAGTCGGAGACGACTGAGTGACTTTTGCTTCACTGTCACTAGTACTTCTGAAGGGCTTCTCTGTTGCGTAAGCCCCCTTGTTTCTCAATCCATGCTAAAAAGGAATTTCTTTTTCCTTGGAGCTCTGGTTCTCTTGTAAGGTAAGGGTCTTTTTAGAATTTTGAGCTTTTACTAGTCGGACAAAAGAAAGTCCTCCCGAATGTCCTTCTCTGGCTTAGTTGTGTCAACTCATTCAAAGTACTAGTTAAGAATACAGATTTTTTAAAAATTACAGATTTCTAGACCTTATCACTAGATATTTCGATTCCATGAGTCTGGGTAAGGCCTGGATATTTTCTTTTTAAAACCTTCTCCAGGGATGTGAACTCACAGCTGTATTAGGTGTTTCTGCTAGAAGACCTTTGGGTTTGTATAATAAAGTTTTCTTACATATTCTTTCTTTTTTTGAATTTTTTAGACATGTAATTCTCTTACTATAAAACTCATGTTTTAAAAGTGTGTACTTGAATATTTTTTTAGCATATTCACATGATTTTGCCTCTACTATGCAATTTCATTGCTCTCCCCCACCCCACAAAATCCCTTATCCATTAGCAGTCACTCCTTACTCCTCTCTCCATTGTATGTATATACCATATTTTGTTCAATCATCTTATGGACATTTGGGTTGTTTCCCACATTTGGGCTATTATTACAATGATGCAGTGAACCTTTGTATATTGTTTGTGTGGATATGTGTTTTTATTTCTCTTGGGTATATTCCTAGGTGAGTAATAACAGGTCATATGTTCCTTATGTTTTATTTTCTTCAAACTGTTTTCCTAAGCAGCTGCATCATTTTGTATTCCTATACTCTGTGTTAAATAGATTGTTTTTGTTGTTTAGTCGTTCAGTCGTGCCTGACTCTTTGTGACCCTATGGACTGTAGCCCGCCAGGGCCTCTGTCCACAGGGTTTCCCAGACAAGAATACTGGAGTGGGTTGCCATTTCCTTCTCCAGGGGATCTTGCTGACCCAGGGATCAAACCCGTGTTTCCTGCTTGGCAGGCGGGTTCTTTGCCACTGTTGCCCATTAAATGGATTAGATTGGGTCTAAGTAGAAGCTGGGTTAAATGGCATGTTTGTACTTAGGAAACAGAACTTTATTTTGGCAGTTGATTTCAATCCACTCCAGTATCCTTGCCTGGAGAATCCCCATGGACAGAGAATCCGACGGACTGCAGTCCATGGGGTTACAAAGAGTCGGACACGACTGAGCTTCTAAGCACATACTACTTTCACATTTGGGATTAGTGGTGGTAGGAGCATCAGAGCTAAAAACTTTCATGTATTTTGCAAGCAGCTGCCATTACAAAAAAAAGGAAAGCTTAGAGTGACTAACGGACGGTCGGCCGCCGTAGTGACTCCCTGGAAAGGAACTGTCACTGCAGTCATGTGACAGTTGTTATCACTGTGCCTTTTGCTTCCATCTTTCCTTCCCTAGCCTTTTGATGTTTTGAAACAATTATCCCCTACTGAGCATTTTGGAAGTGTAATTAACTATTACAGAAAATATCAAATATATATTATTGAGTTACTCTTTGAAAATTCTAGTTTAAGAAAGTTTGCCACTCTGCCTTTTTAGCACCCTCGTGGTTCATACTTGGCTTAAAATCGACTGTCCCAGTACTTTCTTTTTCCATTGACCGCCTGCAGTAATCAAATAACTTCTTTTTTTTTTTTCCAATTCTTAACATCAGCACTTATGTTTATTTGTATCTTTCAGAATGGAAGTTGGAGAACTGGAAGAGACAAGATATTAATCAGGTATTCATTACATTTACTCATGTTCAAATTTAATTTTCTCTCCTATAAGAAGTTTAGAACAAAAAATCTGGGCAAGAAAATTGTATTAAAGATGATAAAAGATTTTTCTAAAACATTTCAGCTACTAAGAGAAATCCTGCTAGTGTGAATATTTTCACCCCAAGTAATCTTTCTTTGGGCAAAATAAAGCAACCTCAAATAAAACCGAAAGACGACTTCCTCCAAATAACAGTGGCTAATTACAGAATTATTATGCAAATTGAAACGTGCATGCCTGTTACATTTGTGTGACTTTTTTGTCATGGTTGCCTTGCTTAGTTGCTTTCAGCACAGATAAAAGAAAACCCCACTATGGGTTTCCTTCCTGCTAGTGTATTGGTTACTGTTTCTTCTTTATTAATGCAAGTTTTATCTTTAATTCTACCCCCAAATTTTTACACATGCAGTGGGAAAAAAGTGACAAGAGTATATAGATTAGAAACCTTACATTATAGGAATCCTTACATTGTAGGAAACCTTACATTACAGGAAAGTGCCTGGCCAATCTAATAGAGTTAGACTAGTAGCATCACCTGAAAATAGAAAGCACAGAATTTTCTTGTTGAGGATGTGCTATGTAGACAGCTGTCTTCAAGTGAGAGGCATGGTGTCATTGGTGTGTGTCCTCCAGAATGGCAGGAATATCTTACACCTCCTCCAGGTCACCTCACATGTTCACCTCAGAAGCTGGCTTTCCTTACTGTGGAGGATAAACCAAGCTCTGGGGTCTCATTTTCAGCTGTGTGCTCACAGAAGCCTTTTCTTTCTCAGCATATTAAGAATGGTCTCTTCTCTCCAGATGCATGCAAATGAAAATGTATAGAATGTATAAAATCAAATAGCAGTCTATTAATTTGCAATAAAAATCACTGTCAGGGGGATGGGAATATCTTGAAGTTCATAAAATAAGAGCTTGTATTATTTATAGCCAGACTGGGTCATAATCAAAAACTGAATGCTATTACTCTCCGAATACTGCGTCAGATCTACATGAGATAAGAATTCTGTATTCATTCCTTCTGCCAGCGTTGTTATGTGTCAGCAGTATGTTTAAGCACTGTGCAGACTTTAACACTAACATTCCACATTGAAATATTAACATTAAACTTCGTGTGACAGCTGTAATGGTGAATAAAAAGCAGACACAGTCCTTACCCTGGGAAGCTTATAGTTTAGGAATAAGATAAATGTTACATTTATCTTTACTTATCATACAAATAAATGTAAACTTATAGCAGCGATAAGTACAGCAGAAGAGACCTGGGAAGCCATGAGGGCGTAGAGCAGATCTAACTGGAGGGCTGCGTGGTCAGCAAAGGCTTCCTGAGAAACCGAGGCTTGAGCCGAGACTGAAGCCTGAGCAGAAGTTGCCAGGCCCGGGCAGGAGGCGGGAGCGTCTCAGGCCGAGGAGCAGCCTGTGCCCAGAGGCCTGGGAGGGGCTACATGGCACTTCCGAGGATCCTGAAGCAGGCGGCTGAACAGCGCGCGGACAGCGTGGTCTAGTGGGAGGCAGACACTGGGCGCGCAGGGCCGCGCGGGCCGGTGGGCTCATCCCCAGGTTTGGGGAGGCCCTCCTGGTGTTTGAAGCCGGGGACTGACCCGATCTGCGGTTTTACGGCAGCGTCTTCTCTGTGTTGGAGAATAGTTCAGAGGCCAGCAGTGGAGGCTGGGGAAGGAGAGGATGCAGGCAGGCGGCCAGGGGTGCTGTCAGTTTTCTGTGAGCTGGGGCTTGGCAAAGAGGGCGTAGATGGTGAAAGTGAGACAGACTGAGAGCCTGGGACAAAACTCCAACCCTAAATGAGGGCTTGAGAAATCAGCTCTGAATGTTCACTGGAAGGACTGATGCTGAAGCTGAAGCTCCAATCCTTTGGCCACCTGATGCGAAGAGCTGACTCATTGGAAAAGACCCTGATGCTGGGAAAGATTGAGGGCAGGGGAAGGGGACGACAGAGGATGAGGTGGTTGGATGGCATCACTGGCTGGATGGACATGAGATTGAGTAAACTCCGGGAGTTGGTGATGGACAGGGAGGCCTGGCGTGCTATAGTCCACAGGGTCACAAAGAGTCAGACACGACTGAGCGACTGAATGAACTGAACTGAGAAAGTAGAGATTGGAGACACTCTAATGGTGGGGTTACAGAGACCCAGAGGGAGTGGTCTGCACAGTGCCGAGTGGTCACATCCTTATAATCACAGCAGTGTCTGCAGCAGCTGGTTAGTGCAGGATTATTACACACCAGCACTTATAAATTGTCTCATTGGCTCGGGCTGTAATTCTGTAAGGGAGAGACTTTTACTTATTTTTTAACTGACAAGGAAAACTGAAGCATTGGAGAGTTGAAATGACCTGCCCGAGGTCTCAGAGATCACAAGCGAAGTGTTTGTAATTGGACATTCTGACAGCCAAGCACTTGACCGCCTGAAACATCATCAGGACTAATACAAAAGCAATCAATTAGATATAGAAAATGGAGGTTATTAGTTCTGTAGTGAGCACAGTCTAGAGGATGATAAAGAGTCAGAACAAGTTAGAGCGGCCCAAAGACGAATGGGGAGGTGAGGCCATGGAGACCGGAAGCGTGGCCCGCTCTTCTGGACACTTAGACCTGGAGGGGCTCTCCAAAGCCGTGCTTGCGGACTTGTGTCTAAAGAGACTCTTATCCTGCTTGATGTCTTTTTCTAGACTCCACTGGCTGGCCAACCAACCTCCCTCTGCTGTATTCTTTCTTTAATTAATATATATATGTGTATATATATAAATCTCGTTGAAGTCTACTTTTGCTGTTTATTTTCTGTCTAGTAAGCATCCTTGTCATAATACCCAAAAACTGTTACATTGGATGGTCAAGCTCTTAGCTTGTAGAATAAGTAACTTTTTTGTTTTATGTCTTAAGTTTGGGGGCTCCTAGTGGTTTCAGATTTAGGTTCTCATGAGTTTGTGTCCCTCTAGCAAATGACATTTGTTTAGAGATCAGTATCTACTGTGTATGGAATAAGTATTTGATGATAATGGATTAAAATGGATATCATGGTTATCTTTCAAAATCCAGTTATACAAATTAAATTATTTAATGTCCTTGTTATCTGTCACCGTCTTAGATTTCACTTCTTCTGTTTGCAGGCTGATGTTGCACCGTTGATGGCAGCTCTTATTAGAGTTCCCTTCCCTCTTAATTCAGTGGTAAAGAGTACAGTTTTCTTATCAACTCTCAGAATAAAAGAAAAATTATCATACAGTAAAATTTACTTTTTATGTGTTTCTGAATCCATTTAAAGAAAATTTATGACAAAGATATTGCTGGTTTGCTAAATCAGTGCTCCAGAGACTCAGGACAAAGAAACTCACTGCAGTTCCGTGGCAGAGCCAGTCTGCAGGGTCACCAACTCACATTGTGCCTCTTGTACTGTCTGTTCCTTGACCCTGAAGCTTCAGGTTCCAGTGTTTATTAGCATTTGAGTGGTCCAGCCTGGATTACTTGTCTACCCTTCAGTTTGGGAAGGCAGGGGACCTCATTAGACTCACTATGCTCCATCTAATATCTCAGCTTCCAATGGAAAAGTTTTTAAGATGGGAACTGGATGCTGAAAAACTACAAGACAAACAGAATCCATTCCCATCAGCCATTCTTTCTAGCCCTTCAAGTCAAAGTTTAAAAAAATAATATCATCTGCCTCAGAACCCTGACTCATCTGACCCCTATAGTCATAAATGTGTGTGTATGTCTATAACTGAAACAAACGTTTCACAAAACATCCTCACTTTTGAGTATAGTATAGTAGTGTGGAGCTTCCCTGGTAGCTCAGTTGGTAAAGAACCTGCCTTCAGTGCAGGAGAACCCAGGTTCAATCCCTGGGTCAAGAAGATCCCCTGGAGAAGGAAATGGCAAACCACTCCAGTATTGCCTGGAAAATCCCATAGACAGAGGAGCCTGGTGGGCTACAGTCCATGGCGTCTCAAGAGCTGGGCACGATTTAGCAACTAAACCCTAATAGCATACTCCTATTTTTCTTATGTCTTTTTTTTTTTTTTTTTTAGTGTGCTGGCTGTGGCCCACCATAGTAGCTTTTTGTGTGTGCAGAGCATTTAGTTCACTGCCTGCCGTATAGTAATCTTTTGATAAATGTTAGGTTTTATTGGACTTAATTCATCTCTTTTGCTTTATTTATTTTATTATATCTATTTTGTGAGAAAAGTAATAGAACATTTTTCAGTTACGATTTAAAAAAAGATTTTTAAATTATTCCAAGAATGTATTTGTCCATGTCTTATCTCTGTTGCTTCCCTTGGAAATCTGTTGTGTTTTATAAGAATAACCTGAGCTTTGTTAGTAGTAATATTAAACCAGTGTTTATTATTTCCAGGGAATCATTCCTGTGGACATACTTAATACCTCTGATCTCTTCAAAGCAGAGAGCATGTTTGCAAATGCAGTACAGATTGTTGAACAGTTCAAGGTAAAACAAGACCACACACAAATATGGACATGATTCCAATTTTAAAACTGAATATATCTTGTGAAAATACTTGATTTTGCATTTAAGAAATGATTTTTTGTAATGTATTATCTTTAAATTGTCTGTACCTGACTAGCGTCCTGCAGTTCCACATTTCTGAGGTGCAGTTTTCATGAATCAGTTTGAGGGTGTAGAATTAGCCCTGAGGAGTGTCCCTGTTAGAGTACCACATATGCTTATAAAGACCGCAAACCAAGTCTCTGTCGATGGAATTTGCCTTGTAGAAGTAGTTTTAGAAACTGCAACATTTCATGTCGTTCTGTGTATATTATTATTTGCATTAACAACTTGAAGAAATGACTGTTTAACTGAAACTTTGTTATTCATAATAGTGTTAATGCAGCATAGCTTATTTTGTTTCCTAAGAGTTAAAAAGTATAGCTTAATTCTATGACAGTTTTTTTTCTTTTGCAGGCTTGATATGCTTCATTCTCAGCTAATTGTAATGGTACTATATAGCATTAACATTTTCTTTAAATATTTATGAAATAGAATAGTAACACAAAATTCCATTTATTTCTATTGCTGAAGAGCCATTTTAATGGATATTTGTATTTCAAAATGAAATTAGTTCATTTTTTTCTCTTTTCTAATATAAAATATTTTCACACTTGGTTCCCAGGTAAAAATGACTCAGAAAAAAGAAGCTACTTTGTCGTTTTTGTTTACACCATTTAAGTAAGTCTCTTATGTTTTTATTAACTTGTAGGAAAGAATTTTTCCCTGAGTTTGAATGCTTGACACAATAGATTAGGTACTTAGAAAATTTGTCTTTTTTGTGTCCATTAGTGTCATATACCAAATGAAAGCCTCTTCTATTGTTTTACAAATAATGACCCAGATGCTGTCTACCTTTGAGTGGCTCCTAGAGGAGATACAGGGGTGCAGAAAGACAGGAAACATGAAGGAGATAAACTCAGCAGGGCTTGACTGGGAAGGGGTGCGGGCTCTTAGCCTGGCCGACTGGGGAGATGCTCATGCCGTTCTGGCTTATAGAAAGAGAGGAGAGCTGGCGTGAGAGGTGAGGCTGAAGGCTACTGAGCTCAACTTGCACTTGAAGATACAGGAATTAGTTAGAAATAGGGATTTGGATCTCAAGATAGAGGTCAGTCGTGTCTGACTCTGTGACCCCATGGACTGTAACCCGCCCAGGCTTTTCTGTCCATGGGGTTCTCCAGGCAAGAATGCTGGAGTACTTTGCCATTTCCTTCTCCATATAGCACTAGTGGTCAATCCTAAAGGAAATCGACCCTGAACATTCATTGGAAGGACTGATGTTGAAGCTGAAGCTCCAATACTTTGGCCACCTGATGTGAAGAGCTGACTCATTGAAAAAGACCCTGATGCTGGGAAAGATCAGGACAGGAGGGGAAGGGGACGATTAAGAATGAGGTGGTTGGATGGCATCACTGACTCAATGAACATGAATTTGAGCAAACGCAAGGAGATAGTGAAGGACAGAGAAGACTGGCATGCTATAGTTCATGGGGTTAAAGAGTGAGACACGACTTAGTGACTGAACAATGACAATAACATAGCACTAGTGTAATAGTCATGAACTAGAAGCTTTTACCCTCAGAAGCATGTAATTATGATTCACTATGTCTGCCTGCTTCTGTGTGTGTGTAGGAGAGCAAGAACAAAGCAAAATTAGGAGACTGCAAGTCAAAATTAATTATATAATATAATAGTATATATAATAATGTCGATGAAATACTATATTAATTATATATATCAAAGGTAGAATTACGATTTGAATAGTGTCCCTAGTTGTAAGGTTATCACATATGCTTATAGAGAGTATAAGCCAAGTCTTTATCAATTAGAATTAGACCTCTAATCCTCCAATTAGAATGTGTCCTATATTATATCATTTAGATATCATATGCCTCTGTTTATTAATAACATAGTAGTATAGTCAGACCATAACAAAATAAAGAAATAAATGAATAAGAAATATTTTATCAATTCTTGGTATGAAGAAGATACATAGGATGTTGAAAATAATAAGTCACCTTAGATCAGCAACTTTATCAGGGAGATGCTCTTCTGCAGGAGGCTCAAGCGCACGTTGCCTGTCTTCTTCCCCTCGGCCGGGAGCTGACCGTGACCCTGCCCTGCTCTGAAGCTCAGCACCTGCCTGGGAGCCGCTGCTAGCTTTGTGCCAGCTGGGGGCCCGACAGAGGGCTGACTCTCATCCATTGGCTCACCCGTCCTGCCTGCAAACTTGTCTGGCTGAAAAGCACCATTTGCCGAAATCCTGCAGCATGACCAAAAAAGCCCCAAGATAAAATAAAAAATTAACTTATGAGGAAATAGATAGTTGAAGGAATAGCGAAGGACTAAAAATATTAAAATCCTGAAATCCTCAGAAGTATCTGAGAAGCCGTTTTACCTATAAAACAAAAAGCGGCGCAAACTTTACAAAAGGAGGAGTACAGGGTGCATTGTTTAAAAATGGGAAATGCGTCTAAAACCTCACGGAACGACCAGCTGTGTAGGAGTGAGCCAGCGGGGAGGCCAGGCCTCCAGATTAGAAGAGCAAGTAGACCTCAAGTGAGGTGAAGGGAGTTTTCAGTGGTATACGGATTGATGAGCAGCTAAGGACACCCTGGAAGGCCTTATTTCTTCACCCCTCTTGCGGAGGAAACTTTAGGAAAAGGAAACGTTTCAAACTGTACAAGAAAGCACGCTTGCAGCGTGCAGCAACAGAAGACGTGATACGATTTGGAACAGTTGAGGGAGATGGCTTGATCAGAGCAGACACAGGGAGGAGTTCATTTCTGTAATGGCAAGCTGAGAGTTGAGAATGGTGGGGCAGGGATTCACTGGTCATTATGCCCCTCTGTATATGTGTGTGTGTGTGTGTGTGTGTGTGTGTGTGTGTGTAAAGCACTTTCAGTTCAGTCCAGTCTCTCAGTCATGTCTGACTTTTTGCAACCGCATGGACTGCAGCACACCAGGCTTCCCTGTCCATCTCCAACTCCCGGAGCTTACTCAAACTCATGTCCATTGAGTCGGTGATGCCATCCAACCATCTCATCCTCTGTCATCTCCTTCTCCTCCTGCCTTCAATCTTTCCCAGCATCAGGGTCTTTTCCAGTGAGTCAGTTCTTTGCATCAGGTGGCCAAAGTATTGGAGTTTCAGCTTCAGCATCAGTCCTTCCAGTGAATATTCAGTACTAATCTCTTTTAGGATGGACTGGTTGGATCTCCTTGCAGTCCAAGGGACTCTCAAGAGTCTTCTCCAACACCACAGTTCAAAAGCATCAATTCTTCGGTGCTCAGTTTTCTTTATAGTCGAACTCTCACATCCATACATGACCACTGGTAAAACCATAGGTTTGACTTGACGGACCTTTGTTGGCAAAGTAATGTCTCTGCTTTTTTCTTTTTTTAAGCAGCTTTGTATTTATACCCAATATATAAGACAAAAGATAGACATGTAAGGGAGAGAGTTAGTTTTTTTTTTTTTTCATTTATTTTTATTAGTTGGAGGCTAATTACTTTACAGTATTGTAGTGGTTTTTGCCATACATTGACATGAATCAGCCATGGATTTACATGTGTTCTCCATCCTGATTCCCCCTCCCACCTCCCTCCGCATCCCATCCCTCTGGGCCTTCCCAGTGCACCAGCCCTGAGCACTTGTCTCATGCATCCAACCTGGGCTGGCGATCTGTTTCACACTTGATAATATACATGTTTCAATGCTGTTCTCTCAGATCATCCCACCCTCGCCTTCTCCCGCAGAGTCCAAAAGTCTGTTCTATACATATGTGTCTCTTTTTCTGTCCTGCATATAGAGTTATCATTGCCATCTTTCTAAATTCCATATATATGCATTAGTATACTGTATTGGTTTTTTTATATGCTGTCTAGGTTGGTCATAACTTTTCTTCCAAGGAGCAAGCGTCTCTTAATTTCATGGCTGCAGTCACCATCCGCAGTGATTTTGGAGCCCCCCAAAATAAAGTCTCTCAGTATTTCCATTGTTTCCCCATCTATTTGCCATGAAGTGATGGGACCAGATGCCATGATCTTAAGTTTCCTGTATGTTGAGTTTTAAGCCAACTTTTTCACTCTCCTCTTTCACTTTTATCAAGAGGCTCTTTAGTTCTCCCTTTCTGCCATAAGTGTGCCAGAGAAGGCAATGGCACCCCACTGCAGTCCTCTTGCCTGGAAAATCCCATGGATGGAGGAGCCTGTGGGCTGCAGTCCATGGGGTTGCAGAGTGTGGGACATGGCTGAGCGACTTCACTTTCACTTTTCACTTTCATGCATTGGAGAAGGAAACGGCAACCCACTCCACTGTTCTTGCCTGGAGAATCCCAGGCACGGGGGAGCCTGGTGGGCTGCCATCTATGGGGTTGCACAGAGTCGGACATGACTGAGGCAACTTAGCAGCAGCAGCAGCTATAAGTGTGGTGTCGTCTGCATATCTGAGGTTATTGATATTTCTCCCGGCAATCTTGATTCCAGCTTGTGCTTCATCCAGCCCAGCGTTTCTCACAATGTACTCTGCATATAAGTTAAATAAGCAGCATGACCCATATACAGCCTTGAAGTACTCCTTTCCGGATTTGTAACCTGTCTGTTGTTCCATGTCCAGTTCTAACTGTTGCTTCTTGACCTGCATCCAGATTTCTCAGGAAGCAGGTCAGGTGGTCTGGTGTTTCCATCTCTTTCAGAATTTTCTTTAGTCCTCTTCAACTCTTTGTGACCCCATGGACTGTAGCCCGCCAGCCTCCTCTATCCATAGGATTCTCCAGGCAAGAATTCTGGAGTAGGTGGCCATTTCCTTCTCCAGAGGATGTTCCCAACCCAGGGATTGAACCAGTGTCTCTTATTTCTTCTGCATTGGCTGTTGGCTTCTTTACCACTAGTGCCACTTGGGAAGCCCAAATATATATTAATATATATAACTTTTCTAAAATATAATTTAGAAAGAAATAAAAAATAGAAAGTTTCCTGGTGGTACAGTGTTTGGGACCTGGTGTTTTCACTGATGTGGGCCCAGGGTCCATCCCTGGTTGGGCAACTAAAAGTGTACAAGCTCTGCAATGCAGCAAAAAATAAATTAAAAACAAGATAAAATTTTTAAATATTAAAATAATTTAAAAGATACATATTTTAATCATTAGCATGAATCATAAAATCATTCAAGCTATGGACACAAATTTATTCTTTCATATAAATAATAGAATCAGCATGTTGAGTAATATATAAAATTCTTTAGTTATTTTAATATATTTAGGAAGCAATTGGAGAGAGTTGACATTTTTTACAATATTGAACATTATTTATTTACCTCTTCTGTTATATCCCTAAGTAAAATTTTATCATCCTTCACCCAATATACATTTCTCATTATTTTATTCCTAGATATTTTATTTCCAAATATTCTGAGTAGTATCCTGTTTTTCCTATCACATATGCTCAGTATACCAGGAAAAACAGTTATCATCATTTATCATTTGAGTACAATGGGTTCTTTAATTTTCTCTATTCCAATAAGTTCTTGTCATTTCTGCACCTCTCTTTTCTTTCCGTCACCTTTATATATTCACCTAATGTCAGCATTGTCTGCTTTGAAACTACAATGTAAAGTAATTATTGGCACATAAACATTATAAAGATGAAAGTATACTGTGGTTACACATTCTTTTTGTACAACA